AGTATTTTCGAGCAGCAGTTTTTAGGTTGTCATATTTTGACTTGATTTGTGTAAGTGTTCTCATATTATGGCAACTATTAAACTGATTCAAAATTTTTTGCCAACCTTCCTCCCACAAAGTTATACAATATGTGAAAACAACGACGAAATAGTATATTACATTACGAGTGTGGAAAGTGACATTTTTCACACGAGTGGGAAATATTGTCGCACGAGGCACAAGCCGAGTGCGACTATCACACGAGTGTGGAAAATCACTTTTCACAAAAGTGATGTACAATATTTTTCCTACGACCACAAAATAATGTCATCAAAAAATGTAAAACCAGGTTATTATTACTATAATTATTAAAATGTATTTAAAAAAATAACCAACAATAATCGCATTTATTCAATTTTCATATTTTCTAAAAAAAAAAACATTCTGGCCCCGCCAAGGTTTGAACGAGGTCGCTCGCCAAGTCTCAAATGGCAAAGTTGATAAGTTCGACATTCTAACCAACTGAGATAATGTATGTATTTAACCAGAATAAAGAGCAAACTTATCTTAGTCATTTTAAAATTATTTTAATAATAATTTTTATAGATAAATATCTAGGATCAAACTTACAACAATTTCAATAATTTACCAATCATATTGATTTTAGTATTAATATGGACATTACATAGATCAAAATAGAAATTATGTGTTTGGCATTTTCTGACAGCTACTGCGGAAAGTAGCATATTCGTACACGGGTGGAAAGTAAATTCTTATTCATACGCGTGTTATATAGGGCACTTTCCATAGGAATATATAGTGTGATATGTGTCACATTCCTAAGTGGTCGTAGGAAAATTATGTTTTTCACTTTTACTAAACCTACCTTTTTATTAGATGTCACTTGATCCGAGTTTTTTTTCTCAACTATATCTTTAAATTGAGAAATAATCTTGACCAAACTTAATACCTATTCTTAAGAGAAATTATTACCACGACTTCTTAGTCGGTTTAGCGTTTTTCTTTGCATCATAATCGAAAAAAAATTCAAAACAACACAACAGTCACAACACACGAACCCAACCTCAAAATTAAATCCACAGAACTTAGGCATTTGTCAAAATTATACGCTCAGTATAGCCAGCAACAACTTAATTTCAAAAAAATTGTCTTTAACAAAACTAACTATACATTTTTATTATGAAACAAGTAAATTTTAAAATTAACTTTATGAGCTAAAGTTACTTTAGTTAAAGTGACTTTAACAACCTGATTATGAAAATGGCCCTAAGATTAATATAATATCGTAGATAAAAATTTCATTATATAATATAATAAATAGGTTTTATAAAAATCCTTAAATAAATATAGAACAAGATTACATTCTGCTAGACACACATTTTGCTACTTAAAATAACAAAAATCCGACGTCGTGAAATACCGCTTCTACTTGCAACACTAAACAAAGTCCTACTTATTGAAACCTTTTATAAATTTTACAAATTTTTTCCAGGCTTATCACTTAGCTTGAATCTTGAATAGCCGATTTATGTAGAGTTAGTTATACAAGAAAATGGTATATTTTCAGGAAACAATAAAATATTGCATATTAAAGAGAATATTTCTTTATGAAAGAGAATATAAAGAGTTGCCGGTCTTAGACGAAAATAAAATATAAATTGATCATCATATTGGATAATGTATTTTAGGCAAAATTATAAATGTTTTACCTCATTATCATCAAAATCATATTCTACTGCAAATTTTATAATCCACAATAATTAATTTATTTCAACCGCATGCATAAATATTAAATTACTATTTTATATAACGTTATGTTTATTGTGTTATTTTCAAACTCCTAAACAGAAGTAGCGTTAAAATTAATACGATGCCACGTGACCAAAATTTTTTCCTGCTTTAACTCTACTTAAAGTTTTCCGTCCGAACTCAGCAATAATTTATTTATTTATTTGTCTTAAGTACACTACAGAAATGTGAATTCCAAATGGCACAGTCTTAAAGCTAAAACAACAATTAAAGTATAATTATATATACATAAAAAAAAACCGAATATATAAATATCAAAACTCTTCAGAAATTTTAAAATACATTTAACGTCTAAAAAACAAAGTCTAACACCATACAAGACAAGAAAACAACCTAAAATTTTAAAATTCGAGCATCCTCTTAACAGATAATAACGTACAATTAAAAATATCACAGTGAGAATAGTGCTTATTATAGTTGCACAAAAGCCTATTCATGAAAGCTCTTTGTCCATAGTTTGTACGATGGGTTTTCTCAAAGAATAGTTGTGACTGTCGAGTATGCCTTAACGGAACAACAAAATTTACTTGGCATAACAATTTTTCACAAATAATGTCTCCATTAATTATTTTGTAGAGCAAAAGTAACATTGCATCCCTGCGTCTCCGTTCAAGAGTTTGCATACCACAGAGTAGCAGTCTCGTTTCATACGATAAATCCCGATATGGAAAGCGAAATTTAAATAGCAAATATTTACAAAATTTGTTTTGAACTCGTTCAATTCGGTTGACATACATAGCTTGTGACGGAGACCAAACAGTACTGCAATACTCTAAAATACTTCGGATCAAACCACTGTACAAACATGTTATTGATTTAGTGTCTTGTATATGCTTTGTGCTTCTTTTTATAAATCCTAATAGCCTAAACGCCCTCAGAATGATAGTATCAACATGTAAAGAAAAGGATAATTCCCTGTCGAATATTACCCCTAAATCATTAAATGTGGAGACGCTCTCCAGCGTAGTATTATTAATAATGTATGAGTTTTCGACGGGGTTAGAACGTCTGTAAAATGATATAACTTTACATTTTGATATGTTTAGTTCTAAATAGTTAGAACTGCACCAAGAGACAAATTGATCTAAATCAGACTGTAGGGCGTTATAATTAGGTTCCACAATATTAAAAATTTTTAAATCGTCAGCATATAAGAGACAATGAGAATTTTTAAAACAGGACACTACATCATTAATAAATAACAAAAATAAAATAGGGCCAATATCTGAACCCTGGGGTACACCCGAAGACACTGTCACTTCCCGCGACACAGAACCATTCACTGTAACACGCTGCCGACGGTTAATAAGATAGGATTTAATCCACTTAAGGTAATTGCCTGTTATCCCAATTTCAGATAGTTTCTTTAAAAGTAACTGCTGACATACACTATCGAACGCCTTAGAGAGGTCGGTGTTAATTGTATCAACTTGGTAACCAGCTTCAACCGAAGAGGTAATAAACTCCTGATAAATAGCCAGATTAGTAGTAGTTGAACGGCCTCTGTAGAAGCCATGCTGCTCATCTATTATGTAATTCCTAAACGTATAAAATAATTCATCTGTTAAGATTGATTCCAACAGCTTAGGAATTGCTGATAGCATAGAAATGCCTCGATAATTTTTTATGTCTGATTTATCCCCGGACTTAAAAATTGGAACCAAGTTAGAATATTTCCATCTGGACGGGACATATCCTCTGTCGAATGATCTCTGGAAAATTGTGCACAGTGGTGCAGATAAAGCAGGGCACTTCTTGAGAAGGATAGGTGGTATTTCATCTGGACCAGAACCTTTGGAAGGATCGAGATCCAACATTTTCTTCTTTATTTCATCTTCTTTAAAGATGTGAAATGAGAGATGGGAACCAAATTTTACTGATTCCAAGTGATTTAAGTCAAGAGTGCTGTAGTTACTGTAGCAAGACTCAAAATGTAGTGCAAAAGTATCAGCGATAGATGAAGGTGTTTTTAAAGAATCATTGTTGTATTTCATGATAGACGGCATATGTTCTGTACGTTTTAGGCTATTAATAAATGTCCAAAAATATTTTACATTTTCAGGAATTACATGTTCAATATTGCTAACAAAAGTAAGGTAGCATAGATCAATGCGATATTTTACCTCACGTCGAATGTCGGAATATGTTTTGTAGTCTGAAGCATATCCAGTCTTTTTAAATTTATTATATGCTCTGTTTTTTCTAGATATTAGTTTTCTCAGAGGGCCATCATACCATTTTGGATATTTTTGGTTTTTTATTTTTCTTTTAGGAACATATAAGTCAATGGCCTTAAAAAGGTGTTTATAAAACATATCCACCATTACATCAAGATCGACAGTACTGTATAAAAAAGACCAATCAGTTTGTTCCAAATATAAGTTAAGTTTAGTAAAATCTGCCTGAGGATACTGATATATCAATAGCTCATGATTAATTATCAAAGGGCCAGTGAAACTAAAACTTAAAATTGTTTCTAAACCAGGATGATGGTAAGAATCTAAAGGTAACAAAGGCATTTGAGATTCTATTACAGAAATTTCATTAAAATCGTCTGCAAAAATTAAGTCCAGGAATCTTCCACGGCTGTTACGGATGGAATTAAATTGCTGAAACTCGAGAAAAAACATCGATTCAACTAAAACTGCAGCCGACTGCGTCGGAACTCGATTGGGGACAAGTACATTATCATCTAAATACCACTGAATGTCTGGAAGATTAAAGTCTCCATATATAATAAACTTAGTATTTTCGTAAGTATTTTTTAAATTTTCACAGGTGTCGCAGAAGGATTGATAAACTTCAGAATTCGAATTTGGGGGAAAGTAGACATTACCCAAAATAAATTTAAAATTTTCATTTTTGATATGAACCCAAATGTCATCGTAAGACGCTATCTTAGGTGTGGATAATAAAGAAGCTTGTATAGTTGATAGTACTGCAACAAGTACTTCGCCGCCACGTTCACATTCGAGTTGATTGTATAACCTATCGCGTCGAAAAACTGTATATTGATTGGAAAAGAACTCAGAATTAACAAAAGTATCATTTAGCCAAGTTTCAGTTAAAGTTACAACTTCATAGTTACAGGAATTTGAACTCAAGAAAAGTTGGTTAGTTTTTGTCCGAAGCCCTCTGACATTCTGATAGTAAATGGAAATGAATGTATTTTTCACTTTATTGTGATTATTTACAGAATCGATGCAAGGGAAAAATTTATCTTCTCAGATGAAATTGACACACCCGACAGAGAACAAGGTTCAGAATTGGAGATAGAAGTCCCATTTATTGAAACTGATGAGGAATTGCATGTATGTGAAAGCAAGTCTCCGCATATTGATTGCACTAAACAAGTTTTTTCGTCGTAGAACAAAATTCCATTCGAAGTAAAGAAGTTAACGGGTACAAAATTTGCAGTGTTTTCAGGCTTCAGTTTGAGTTTCGAACAAAATGAAGAATTTTGTTCTTGAATTAGTCTATTCAATACAGGTCTATTTCTAAATAGAGGAGAACCAAACACAATAAGATTTGTATCCTTGCAGATATTTAAAAGCTCGTTAATATGGCTGTCTTTGATTGATTTACCGGATACAGCCATTTGAGAGCCCCAAAAAAGAATAACGTAGTCACTTTTAGTCAATGTTTTCATTAGGTTAGAGCCATGCTTTAAAATACAGCTAGGAGTTGGCTTATGTAGACGTTGGCAGTTTATATCAAATTTACGATTTGTAAATTTTTTAAAGAGAGATATAAATCCTCTTACATTAGCGTCACCGATAATTAACAGTTGTGATTTACGAATCACCTTATTACCAGTATTCGAAGCATCTGATAATTTCTCCATAAACTCACCCGAACTAGTAAGTCTTTTTCTAAGTTGACACAGTTCATTACTGTATATACTATTGTCTGCTTCCAATGTTCGAATTGTGGCTATCATCTGCTTGTTTAGTACTTGTGACTCAATTAATTCTAATTCTTTCTGTTTAGTTCTTTCAGCACTATTTTGCAATTCTTCTTCTAATTGGGATATTCGTTTAGTAAAACCTATTATTTCTTTGTCCATCTTAGTGATTTTTTCCCGTTTTTCTATTAATTGCTTCAAATAGTTTTGTTCCGCTTCTTCTACCTCATCCGTAAAATCTCTGGATTTTTTACGCATTTTATCTAGATGCAAATCTCTATCGCTGATATCTTTATATTGTTTACTGATCGTCGACTCTAGATTTTCAATTTGCTCTTGAAAATCATTCTGTATTTTATCAATTAAAATATCTTTTTTCTCCAACGTCTTATTTAGATCCGCAATAGCAACGTGAAGCTCCGTAAAATTTTCAGTCTTGCTTATTTCGACACATTTCGCAGAGCAGTAAATCTTGTATCCTTCTAAAGTTATTTCAGCACTCCTCCGACAATTTGGATTGGGATGAAAGATGCCCAAGCATACCACACATACAAAGTTGTTGAAATCCTTTTTGCAACATTTAAAACTCGTTGGCATATTTCTGATGTATGGAATAAATTTTCAGAAGTAAATTGTCAAAAATATTAAATTTTTTAAAATTCTTTGATAATACTAAAAATTATACTTAACCGCCCGCACTAATTTGTATTTGTTGTCGCCAGTTTTTTATTCTAAACTAAAATTTGGTATTGAATTTTCAGTATAATTTAACTAATTACACATCTACGGAAGCCAAATTTACTAGGTTTATCTTAAGGAATGCATACCTGAAGTGCTTAAGAATATATGGTCCAAACCCTAGAATTTTTGGAAACGGGTGAACACCAAATAAACACATAAAACAAGCATCGATTTATAAACACATGTAGCACACGATAGTACGGGCGATTTCTAGACGATCATGCGCATTTCGATTTGAAGCATTCTTAGAGAAGAAAATCAGTAATTAATTATTTTATTATTATTATTATTCAAGCTCATTGGCCAAAATCCCTGATTTTCGGATCCGCGAACGGTTAAAAACGAAATGCGAGCAAACTCATTTGTCGTGGACATGTCGCCGACAAGCTCCACCAACAAAGTTATTTTTATTGAGGCCAACAAACCTGTTTAAAGTTATTAGAAAAAATGAAATAAAACTGTATCATCTAATTTAAATTTCTATTTTATATGATAAATGAAATTATACTATCTATTTAAAACTCAAATTTTTATATTTGGAGTGTTTGTCCGACTTTATAAGTTTTACTTTTACCCGATTAAACTTAAATTTCGAGTGGAATCTGCGAAAATGGGTGGTAAATCTCTTAAGAGCAATAAATGAAGATATTTTTAGTGACATCGAAAATATTAACGACAGATGACTTGTATCAAGAATGTGTCAGTATACTGACAGGCTAACAGTGGTACTAATATGAAACATGTTGCTATAAAACCAATGAAAATAAATCTTTCAATACAAATTAGTTTCACGTCCATTATTATTTACGTACTACACTTGTAATGATGAAAATTAAAATATGACATAAATGTCATTAAGAAATCTGTTCGCTTTGTCTTCAACTACGGAAACATTTGATGTGATCTTTTTCACTTAAATTGGTTATTTTCAAACGCAAATCCAATATAATAGATCGAAAAAGTGGCAATTCTGAACAGTTTTCGAGGCAACAGATTGAGGAGAAATATCGTGCAATATCGACCAAGGCGCCAAAAAAAATATTAATGACTTCAATATACAGTTAAAAAGAAATGACAACCAAGAAAACTTGCCTATATATTCTTCATATTGATTGACATATATCTAACAATAATTTGAAACCAAACAAAATTAATAAATTTACTTGTATGTATTTAGAAAGTTGAACTTTACTGTTTTAACTAATTTAAATTGAAAAATTTAAGCATAAGTCAGTAATAAAAAAGTTCACTTAATTTATTTAATATTAAATTTCCATTAGCAACAATTAGGTATAGCAGTCCACTGAAAATAAAAGCTATTTCAAAATATTTAAAGTCATAAAGCCATAAATTGTAAAGAAAATGCATACCTACCATATTTAATTTCCTAATTTAGCTAAAATTTACTAAAAATCCTCAATAACTAAGCAATTATGTTATTTTATTCAGTTCTAGTATGCAATTTTCTCAAGGCAGCTAATAAATTTCAACTCAGCCTCTTTCTAATGTGCTATAAAATTGATTATTTTAAATATGTTGGGTTAGGTAACGTAATTTAATAAGACCAAATAAATTATATATGCTGTGATACTTTTCATTGAATTATGTGTTATCCACACTTTATGAATATCAATTAAACCTAACTGCAAATATTCATTGGTACAACTATAAATTATAAAATTAGTAAAAGCATAAAAAGGTTGTCTAAAGGAAATTACCTATACAAATATTATATTCTCGAGAAATTTATTCAGCCAATTTATAAACGCGTGCTGTGCATACGTTACTGTTTTTTTTTTATCCAAATATAGACGATAGAAAAGGAATGTGAAATAAATTACTCCCAGAAGAACATTTGATAATGATGAATCGCGATGTACCTATTATTGGTTTTATTAAAAACATTTGTTTATAGACTTTGGTCTTATTTCTATATTATACAGTTATTTAAAAAAAATTGAACTAGAAAGAGTCGATCAATTGCAATAAATTTCCTATAGTTTTTTTTTTAATAAGAAATGAATAGCATGGTCAAAAAATTTAAGATTTTTACACTTTTTTATTTTATCAAAAAAGTATCTTTTTAAATATGGCGTAATTTTTTATAGTGACCTCACGTTTATACGAAACATGTAAGATATCAAAGGTGTCTGTCATGAACGTCTGAATATTTTAAAAACTTTATCGCTCTATTGTTGGGGAAGAATCACTACTAAGAATTTATATAAATTGGAGTGTGGTAGCTCTGTTTTTATATCAGAATTCAAAACATCTTTGCATACTTTGAACTCTGTTCATAAATTTTTCTGCAACTTTGTCTTACAGCTTTGAGCAATAGGGTGGAGTGAAAAATATTTATTTTTCACTTTTTGCAGAAACTGAGTTAGCTTTTGTGCACAAAAGTTGCGACTTGGTATACTAGTGACCCCCTAAAAAATTTAGGTTCCCAACGCCAGGTCTTGAGAGCCCTAAAAATTTGAAAAATATGAAAAATTAAAAAAATATATATTTATGGTGTTTTACTTTAGTTAATAATTTTACACTACCCGATTTATTATTCTTCCAAGTATTACTAGTAGGGATAACAGCAGAAAATATACGCCTACACAATGAATGTTAAGAGGTGCCACCAAATTACTAAACTTCATTAATTTTTAATAAAAAATAACAAATTTAAGCTTTATTTTAGTATGTCAATTGTCAAATTTCAAAAATAATTCTGTATTGTTTCAGATAACTAACATTCAGAAATAATGACAGCACCTTTAACTTTAACTCACGGACGTGGTAGAGCATTTAATACAAACGTTTTACCAAGCTACGAGGATATTTTGCAACAATAATTATTCACAAAAAACGAAATAATAATGAACTTTTGGAGAAGTTATCAGAATTGTCGTACCACAACTGTAGCATATTTGAAAGAAAGCATCATTGCCTACAATATCAAACAAAAGAATTGTGGAAAGGATCCGAGAGCACCACAACATAAATTGGGAACCCTTCAAACAGAGAGCCAATAAAAAAGATTGAAGCGTTTAAAAAAAATACCTATTTTCGAGCGAGAATTTTTGCTAGATTAGCGGAGCGCCAGAAAACTGATGATAGGGAACGTTGATAGCAATATCACAAAACAAATGGAGAAAAGAGAAAAATGAAAATTGTAAGAAGCAGCATCGTCCAGCATTGTAAAAACTGTCAAGATACAAAAGATGCCAATGCTTCTCAAAGACTCCTTGGAAATGAACCTTAGCTTGCCATCAACTTCTTTTCAACCTTCCCCAGAACCTCCCATTTCTATTATATCTAATCAAATGCGTAAATATCTGCCAAATTTAGCACGAGATTACGATATATGGAAACTGTCTGATAGCGCATTACTTCAGGACCTAGAAGTTGTGACCAAAGACGACAATTCATCAGTTATAGATCGCAGTAAAGTAAGATGAAAAAGAAAGAAGCTTAGGAAGCAAAATCAGCAAACGATAAAAAAGATCTTGTGCTGAAATCGATATATTGCGATGACCGAAAGGATTTAACATGAAAAACTATTTTAATAGACGGCGTCCATCACCCGCAAACGGTGTCGGAATTTTTAGGACATGTAGCTCCTTAATCGGGGACATCTTTCAATATTTTTACGATCAGAATCATCTGTATAGGATATTTTTGGCAGTAACATCTGGTAAGTGTTCCCAGCATTTATCTAATCTTCAGCCGGGTCCAATTGCACATTCGCAATGGTTAACAACTGCTAGTAAGATACTGCGTTTCATCTGAAAAACGTTAGAGGTTACGCAGCAGTTTGGTTCGCGATCAAAACTAAGCCAAGATGTTAGGATGGATCACGACCTTTGGTGAAACGTATTTATTAAAGCAGATATCTGCCTTAAGTTTTTACAAACGTAAAAAATCCAGGTATTCAAAGAAACGCGTACTTTTCACAACCTAAAGCTATTCTAAATGACGACAAACCAACTATCAGAACACGAAATGATAACTTATGCTCTAAATTCTAGTGTAATACCGGAACCACCTGGAACTTTGATTTTAGTTCAAGAACGACTTACCCAAGTCCGACGTAGCTGAGTTCTGTTTATAAATACGGACCCCAGTATGTCGAGAGATATGTTCGTTTGTTCAGAGAAGCTGCAGCCGTAGTAAGTGAACCACAGAGACTAAAATCCACATATTTGATCCCTAATTTGAAAAAAAAATCTGAATAGAAACTAAAATAAGAACTTGTTTTTACTTAATTTATAGTACTTTAGTAAACTGCTATAATAAACTCTTGATATTTGATGACGTTAATATTGAAGATAACCTATTTTATACCCAAGTTAAGAAAAATAAATATAACCAATGAAATAAAATTAAAATTAAACCCTTTGTGGCACGTGAAGATTTCACTGTTTTTTTAAATAAATTTAATGGTAAACTACTCTTATATAGCACCAACTCTTGTACACCCAAGCGTATTGATATCGGATAAAAAAAATTCACTTTACTCTGTTGAGCAGTCCAGTTAACATTCTCTATTGTGAATATCACCAGCTTTCTTAACATTTCCGCCATCAACTTAATTTACTGTCATACTCTAATAGAGTGTTTTCAAACTCACAAAATCCAGTATGTAAACTTCTTAGTCATTCATTAAACTCTAATGCGTCCAACACTTCAACAATTGCTTACCTGTTCCACTAATCTTAAAGCCTCTTTTAGATAATATCTACTTGTCCAACTCCATACCTATATCTTCCAAAAACTAAAATGGAGTAGGTAACAACCGCTGTAACACCACTGGTAAAATTTAGACTCCCAATAAAGTGTAGCATTCTCACAGGAGAACTTAATGT